CTGGGGCTAAGAGAACCTCCCAGATGCACTCCCACTCTGCTGCCTTCTTTCTTGATTCACAAGGTCCTCTTCCAGGTCTATAAACCACTCCTGCTAGGTGTGTCTGGGTTTTGCTCTGCTCTCCTCCTATATCCCACCCCCTGTGTTTAATCAGTTCCTCACAATTCTGTGCTCTCAGGAGAACAATCAGCCCTGACTTCTGAGGCTTTCTGTCACTGACTTTACCCCAGTCTCCCTCAGGACCTGACAGGCTCCAGTGATACCAAAGCCCAAGTGCACGCTTTGACTGTGAACGCTTTGAGGGCAGGGATGACATCTCTTGGGACCTCTGGGCCCTGCACCACACTGGACATAAAGTAGACTCTTGTGACTAAATAGGCACTTGCTTGTCAAGACAGCTTCTTGTGCTTTTAAAATCCTTGTTTTGGGATGGAAATGGCATTTGTCCTTTGTCACTCCAAAACCTCACAGAGTTCAACAGTAGTCCCAGACTATCTGTACTGAGAACTGAGTGATCCACAGAACCGAGTGCCTTCCAGTGCACAGGAGCTGAAGTGTGAGGCTGAGCACTGAGTTCCTCCTTTATCACTTAGCTGCCGCGTCACACTGGGAAGACGCCTCACTAGCCCCCGAGCTGCTGTTCCTCTTTCTTCACCTGGGCTTCTGTTTGTTTTTCTGTCAGACAGGAGCCCTTCCTGTCTCACAGGGTGCTCATGGGGGTCAAATGACATTGCATATATATTTGAAAGTGCTAGTTAACTTCTAAAGTTTATTTTAAAATGTCAAATATCTTTCTGTTTAAAATACAGGAGAAAGGAATAAAGCCTCTCCTCATTCTTGCAAGGCTTTGCATATTTTTTCCAAAGGCAAACTTCTTGGGGCAGGTGTGTGCATTGTATCCACACTCATTCTTCAACCACACGCTCCTGTTCTCAACCACCCACACCACCGGCAGCTCACCCACCACCATCATTAATAATTTCTTCATGGCCAAGACCTGTGGATGCTGTCATTTCCTTTTCTCATTTTTCTCAGAGACATTCTCAGCAAGGAGACCAGAGTAGCTTCCTGCAGTGGATTCTAACCACATTGTGCCATGGGCAAATTCCACAATGACCCCTCATTGCCTACAGAGGAAAATTCAAAATCTTTAGGAAGGTATGGCAAGCCTACCAGCCTGTGAACCCTACCTATTACCTCATTGCCTCATGTTGCTCTTCTTGTAACATACCCCTTAGTCATACAAAATGACAACTGTCTTTAGAAAGTGCCAGGCCTTTTCACCTGTTGCCTGCAAAGTAGCCTGCAGTCTGTTTATCTCTCAACACTTGGTTCAAAACATCACTTTTGGAGCAATCCATTTGGGACCCCTCCTGTCTCTCAGGAGCTATCCCTATTCTTCATTCCTGTTCTCCAATAAATTTTCCTACTCTTCACCTCTGTTGTTCCTTAGAATTCATTCTTCAACTTCAGGGAACAGAATCTTGGTATATCTGATATATAGCAGGTTGGGAGTCATATTTATTTCCCCAATATCATTTTGGAGATAATTGGAAGGAGTCTGAGATATCTGCCTTTCTCTTGTGCTCCAGCTACTTGTGATAAGAGGTACATGTCAAGACAGCATAAGGTCACCAGTCAAATGATAGTTTTTTAAAAAGAGCTTATGTGACATGAATGTTATATATATGTCACTATACTTAGAGATGCCAAGGGACTGAGCAGTCCAGACAATATCACACACTCCTTTGATGACATCCTGTTAAAGAATAACAAATTAGGTGAGAGCTTCTTTGTGTACTAGATGGAGATGAATGACTAAAAAGGCTATTCTATACTAAGATAGTCACTTAAATATGTTTCAAAGGTAATGTCATGATTGTCATGCTAAAATGGTATGTGTGGCTCTTGATCTCAAGTTTTCTCTGTAAAACTTTATAATTGTTGTCTGTTACCATTCTGTGGGGATTCAACTTCTAAAACAACCATAACCGGTAAGAAATAACAGTCCTCTGGCTATACTTTGTATTTCAAAGTGCTTGATATCCAGATGAAATTATAATAGCTAAGCTCACTGTTCCCACTGTAATACTGATGTATCTGATCTTCTCTTCTGGGTGCTCAGTAATTTAAGTTTGAAGACCAGAACTAGAAAAGTAACTGGGCTGAAGATAGCCAGTATTTTGGCACTAGCTCTCCAAGGTCAATGAGGGCCCGGGACATGAGGGAACATTTTCTACAGGATCCCACAACTTTGGTGAGTTACACAACCTCCTGATCAGGGAAATTGCTGGACACCAGAGAAAAAGAATCAGTGAATATACAGTGTGGCAAAAAAGAGGGTCACTAAAAAGGGAAAAGTCTCCCATGCTTTCACAGAAAGCAACACGGTCAAGTAAGACTGTGACCCATCCTGGCAGCTGACACTGACAAAAGAGCTCAGAAGCTCTGTAGATGGTTACAAGAGTAATGCTGAAGAGACTTAACTCACCTTGATAGACAGCAAGAGGTTACTTTTGATTAACACAGGTCTCAGTTTAACTTGGTCTTAAACACCCAGCAGAAGGGTATAAAAAAAGATGCATGAAAACAACACCATAGTAATAAAAGCTAGATATAAAAAGGGCCTCCAATCACTGACCCCTTCTGGCAGTTTCCAGCTACACTGGTAGTTGACCACTGTTATGGTTCAGTGAAGCTAAAGAACTATGGTGGAAGCTATAAAAGTTCAACAAGAGTCTTTACATTGCTTAGCTCAAATCGTCCTTTGAAACCACCACACTCTCCATCTTACAGCTAAAACTACAGAGACTTATGCTAAGAAACATTAGACTTACAGATAACCTCCATCAGTAGAGGGGCCTAAGCCAATTGGTTATAATTGCTTTTCCAGTCCCTTAAGAGCAGTGTCTGAACATGACCCTTTCCCTGACCTGCCTTTCCACTCTAGTATTAATGCTTTGATTATACCTACTTCAATTTTTTGGGAAAATTTCTTTATTCTTGCTTGGAGGCTGCCAAACCCCAAGTGATCATGCAGATGGAACCAATGACAAACGGACCAGCCTCCTTTGACCAGGATCCACTAGATTGAGCTTATGAAGGGTGTTCATAACTGCTAAACTGCAGCATGACTTCTGTTCAAGCCCAGTAGATTAGCTCTCTGGAGGAGGCCCCTGACTTCAATCTCCCCTACACTGACCCTTTTCAGCTCAAAGCAGCTAGATGGAAACTACACTCCTTGTCTCTTAACTGCAGTTTGAAATATCTCTTCAGAACGGGAATATCACAGACAGATAAGTTAGGTAGAAATTTTACAGGCAGTCAGACAGGGTTAGGCCCTTGAGGGAGTCAGAGCAGAAGATGAGAACACATTGGGACTATGGAGGCATGTGTGAAGAAGATTAAAATCACAATGGACAGATTTATACACTAAGGGATAAACAGAAGTTTGAGATTATTGGTACCACTTTTTTGGGATTTCCCATACAAATAAACCAATATCTCGTTAGGTGTGGGTCATTTTCTCCCATCCACTAAGACTAATGCTAAGACTAAAGACAAGACTAAGTCTATAGATTATTAACCAAGGTGAGTGATGTCATCCACATGCTCTTGCTTCTAATGGATCAATATTAGCCAAGTGGCTATACTTGTAACCTTATTTAGTACAGTTAGAAAGAAAGATGCTGAGTCACTCCCTTCCCTTTGTTCAACTGTAAATGCCACACACCATACTAATGATCATCTGAGTTTAAATTAGGGAGCACCCTCATGATTATCTGGCTTAATCTTAGGACCACCCTGATGGTTAACCAGGCTTAAATTTAGAAGGTCTCCTAGATTGCTGAGATCAGATAGAGTGACACTGGGAGGCAACTGGATCATGGGTATCTGACCCAATGAACACTGGAAGCCCCTTTTATTTTTCCCTTTCACAGTTGAGCCCTTTTTCACTTTCACATTCAAGTGCTTTTTCCCTTCATTGTCTTTCTGTTCCCCCTTCTCCCTGTTCCTTTACTGTCCCATGATTTTCAGTAAATATAGCTACTTACTACATACAATGAGGTGTACACTTGGCAACTCTTTCCTTGTCATACACAAGAATCTGTACTGTTTTTGGCCCACTCAACTGTAACATATTGGTTGATTATAGTTTTGACCCATGTTGTACTCACCTCGTGATTTTGCTCTATAAAACTTTCTCAGAGAGGTAAGCTTATTAACAACCCATTTGGGACCCCTGCTGTCTCTAAAGAGTTATTCCTATTTCCCAGTAAGTTTTCCTACTCTTAAAACAAAAATCACTTTTTCTGGGAAAACTTCTCTGATTTCAGCTTCCACCCCTTCCATCCATGTGGAAGTAGTACCTACCCCCCATGTCTTTTTGCTTGTTTGTTTTCTTTTCTGAGACAGGGTCTTGCTAGGCAGTTCAGGCTGGCCTTGAGCTCACTTTGTAGCCCAGGCTGGTCTCGATCTCATAATGATCCTCCTGCCTCAGCCTCCCGAGTGTTGGAACTACAGGCATGTGCTACCACGCCCAGTAAACCCCTCTCATGATTGCCAAACTCTCTGAACTATCTCTTTCAGCACAACAACCTACTAACACAACTCTCTAATTTATTTATCTCCTCTACTGGACAGTGAGCTCCCTGGACACAGGGAACATGTTCTATCTCTTTATATGTGTCAAGTCTCCTGGTATACATAAACATTAACAAACACTTGTTGAGTAAATAAATGAGTGCTACATGCCATTATTAGTTCTACTATCTTTTGGATCCTTTGCCATATTTTGCACACCTTTTAGAATTTTTAGAAATTATTTTTGGTTTCCACAGAAACCATGTTGAAAAAATTCTGGCAAGTTCCATAATTTATTCAGAAGTTCCTCTCTGTGGAGCTGTGGGCTTGGCTTTCTTCGGAAAGTTTATGATACCTGTCTGTGCTCCCCCTCTACTGGTTCCCAACAGCTCCCTGAGGTAGGAACTCCTGCTCACCTGTCACTAAGAGTTTTCGTATTTTCTAGTTGTCTGGACAGGAGCTTGGCAATGGTGGTGAAGCTGTTGCTCATGCGGAAGATGTCCCTGTTCTGAGGACCCAGGATGGAGGAGAAGGCATCAGTGATGCTCTTGATCTCTAGCAGGAGAATATGGTGAAATGAATGCTCCATGTTGGCCAGCTGACTCACCAGGTACGCTAGGCAGCTCCTGGCTCTCTCCTGCCAAGACCGATAAAGGAAAAAGAGCAAATTAGAATCCCACAACCAGCATGGGACAGTTACATACAAAGTTGACTGAAGGGGAGAGTTAATGCTAAATATGAAATAAGTTTCCTTCATAGCTCCTCTGAATCTGCTTCTTTGAGGTTTTATGCCCCATCACCCAATTTTCAAGACAAACGTATAAAAAGGAACTTTTCCCCAGTCACTTCTCTGAGGATTGAACCTAGCACCTGAGAGGTGCCAGGCAATTACTCTACCACTGAGCTACATCCCCAGCCCAAGCTACTCCTTTCTTAACACTATGAAAATATTTTTATTAACCTACCTTACCATGCCCAAACCTCTTCACTAGTGATCTGACCCCACGAATCCACCCTTCCCAACTGTGTGACTTGCTAATTCCTCTTACACAGGAAGGAAAGGCCAATGGTTCCAAAGAGACCCTCAGTCCCAGCACTCTCAACCCATGTGGGTGTCACATGGTGCCCATATATTCTACTGTGTGCAAGGTTTGCTTCATTTTTACAGGGTATTCTCATGCATTTGTTCATCTTCAGCATATTATATTCTTGGAAAAAATTAGATTTCATTATCTAGGTTTAATCAAGTTAATTCTTACAAGTACTTCAAATAAATTCCTTCAAAGAAATAAGGGTAACATGGATAATGCAGGCAGGTGTGAAAATAACAACAAAAAAAGGATCAGGAGACACATCTCCTACAAGTGTGTAAATTTCGTATAAGCCATACTTTGAGGTAACACGATCTAAGCCAACATGATCAGAAGTTATGAAAAAGAGCAATTCAAAGTTACCAGAACCTTATTAGAAATACAGAGTTGTGCCCAGTAGAAATAACAATATATCACTGATAAATACACAGCATTAAAAGAATAGCATTTCCTCTTTCATTTCTCTTTTAAAATCTTTTGTGTGTCTGTAAAAATTTCATATTTTTATGAATATAAAAATAGAATATACTGTAGATAATTGTAATAATTGTAATAATATACTGTAGATAATTGCAGTAGAATATACTGTAGATAATTGTAAATCAATATATAGGGGTATTCAAATTCCCCTTCACCCTTTGTTCCAGCATGTGAAGCTTTAATTTTCTTCAAGGTACAATTGCTGTTTCCTTCCTGAAGCTGTCCCTAGTGACCCCTTGCATCTGAGTTTTCATTGCATTGTCTGTGCTTGATTGCATTTAATCACTGATTTACTCAAGCTTTTATTCCATCACTAAATAGGTATCGCATGCCTGTAATACACCTGTGCTAGACTCCAAATGACAAAGGCAAATGCGGGAAGGTTCTAGCCTCTAAGGTACTCACGATTCCCCTTCCACATACAATTCTCTAGTGGTTACATGGGCCAGACAAGTCACCTAAAGAGACTACTTCCCATGTGTCATTCATCAACCTGGCACAGAACTGAGGCTGTAGACTATACACCAATGTGTGTATGTCTCAGTTCACTCATCTGTGTAAGCCTTATGTGCTAAAATATAATGTTACAAATGAAGTATGCAGATGCAAAGGAATTATGCGCTTCACAAGAAATATTTACTACAGAAAATATGAACTACAGAACAAATTGAAATAGTAAAGTTTCCTCATCTTCAATACTTGATTTTCAAACATTCTTTACAGAATTTCACTGGCACACAGCTTTTGGGGAAGTGGGATACATCTGCTAATTGATATCTTAAATTGTTTTTGGAGCATCGCTAGGATACAATACTGCATGAGTATGTGGGACAGAGGTGTGTGTTTTCATGAACTGGGCAGCTAGTTGAAGAGAAATTATTAATTAAAGCACAACAATACTAGATAACTGAAAAACAAACACCATGGGAATATGTTCTTGTTTGTTTTGTTTTTTTGAGATGGTCTTGTTAAATTGCTAGATTATCTAGGCTGGCCTCTGATTTGTGATCCTCTGGTCTCAGCCTCCCAAGTGCTGGTTTTACAGGCATGTACCACAATGTTCAGCTTTGGAATAAGTTCCTGACAGTCCATTTCATATTTGGGTTCGTGCAGCTGTTCGATTGTGGAGTGGCTCTTCAACGCTTTTGGGCCACATAGTTTTTTGCAAAATAGATACATTTTTTTTTTTACTTCAACAAGGGCTCCATGTCTGAATTCACAGCATGCACAGGGACATTTTCCATTTCTTATTTGAAGCCAAAAGCTGGATGGAGGTGGGGGGAGGAGTGTCACCTATACACTAGGCCCATTCTAGAAGTTAGGAACACAGCATTGAAGAACAAGGAAAAAAATCTCTACTGACATACAATGCAGAAGGGCAATAAACAGAAAGTACCTAGTATTGCACGGCACGATGTGCCTCAAAGAAAACTGAGACCGGATGGGGAGACTTGGAGGAGTAATGTTAAAGACTGACATCAGGCACATTTGAGTTCAACAAGGTTTGCAAATGGAAACCCAACACTCTTAGTAACATTAGAAAACAATTACAGCGCTTGACACAGGGCTGCAGGAAGATGTAGGAACTGGAATGTCTGAGATGCGACTTTTATTTACTGTTTGTCCTACTGAGAATATAATTTGAGGATTTAGATAACTTCTTCACCTTCAGAATCAGATTCCTCCTTAGCATTTCAGAAAGCCCTTTCATAAACAGTTCATTGGTTTATCTCAAAAGTTCCCCTATGGTTTCTTGAAGAATCTTTCTTAGGTTAGGGCTGTAGCTCAGTTCATAGAGCTTTGCCTAGTGTGTGCAAGGAACAAACAAACAAACAAACAAAGAACATGAAACAAGAAAGCAATCAAAACAAAACAACTTTCTCACTGTAAAAATTTGCAAGCTCCTTCTTGGGAGCATGTTATCTTCTTAAAAGTAAGGGCAGTTATATGGATATTTACTGAAACTGAGCTGAGAGGAAAATTAATCATAGTGCAGGAACAAGAATAATTCTAACTGCTCTGGAACCAATGTGTGAAACCAAGCCAGGCTCACATTGTCTGTTCTGAATTCTTGGAGGATCTCCACATGCCTCCTGGGGGTAGCAGATGTGATATTAGATTAGAAGGTGTCATGCTAAGGCAGCAAGGGTGTTAGGAAATTCCCACTGCTTTCTTGCCTCCAAGATACTTTGTCTCTGGGGTCAGTGGTTGCATTTTTCTGTTTGCAATCATCTCACTGTGGAGTAGGGTCAGATGCACCTGTGTCATTAGCTGCTGGTTGAACACTGTTTCTACTGAGATGAATTTATTGTTTATTATTAAAATAATAATAACTGATCCACAGAGAGCAGTTAGTGCAAATGTAAAGTCTATTCTACATGCTTTTTGGATATTTACTCATATAACCCTCTGAATAATGCTATGGGGTAATTGCTATGGTCCCTAACATTTGACCAGGAGGAAACTGAGGCCGAGTTGGGAGACTAACTTGCTGAAGGCAATGTATGCCCTTTGGTTTCTGAAGCTGCACCTCTCTGGCTATGCTGCTGGCCTCTCCCTCCGAAAGACCAATTCCTGCCCCTTCCCTCCACCCATTGGAGCTGAGCTGAACCTTGGACAGCTTCGGGAACACTGGTGAGCTGGCTCCACTTCTGCTCCACCAGCTTGAGAGCCAGAGGGAGCCCCAGACAACCTCAAGGGCCTTGGGTGCCCCTCCTTGCCCCCATCCTGCACCCTCAAGGGAGCTAAGCTGAAATTCAGACAGCTTCAGCGGCCTCAGTGACTGTGCACTTACCACCCCCACTGGTGTGGGAACCAGGAGGGGTAGTGGAAGTGTATGGAGCCATAGTGACCACGACCCACCCACTACTACACCCCAGTGGAAATGGGCTGAAACCCAGACAGCTTTGGGAACCCCTGAGTGGGAAACAAGCTGAGCCCTGGACAGCTGTGGGAGCACTGGGGATCGCACCCCGCCCCTCCACATACACCATTAGGGGAGTCACACTGAGCACTGGGAACCTTTGGGTCCTTGCCCCACCACTGCGACATCATCCTGGGAGTGAGGCTGAGCTCCAGGGAACCTCTGCATCTCCAAAAATTACAAAACGAAGGAGCAAAATGCAATTGCAGACCTCTACCCCACCCAGAACAAGTCCAGGAGATATTGACACAGAAGAGATTGGAAGTCATACACCTGAAATTTCTGAAATGATAGCAGCTGAAGTAAAGAAACAACTCCGTCAGGCCATAGAAGACATCAGATCAGAAATCATCTCTGAGGTAAAAAAAGAAATGACAATAATAATGAAAGAATTGCTTAGCACATCTAAAGAAGACATAGAAAAAAAATAGAAGAGCATAGTAAATTAATGCAAACCTTGAATGAACAGCATAGGAAAGAACTGGAATGCATGAAACAGATTCAAACAGATATCCAGGAACTTAAAACTTCCATCAAAAGCTGGCAAAACCACTTGAATGAAGCTGAAGATAGACTTTCAGACCTTGAAGACAGCATTGCTGTGAATGACAATGAAACGAAAGATCTCTTAAAAATAATAAGAAACCAAGAAATAACACTTCCACAGGTACAAGATGAAGCAAAGAAAAACAATGTAAGATTAATAGGTATCAATGAAACAGCAGGTGTCAGCACAAATGACATTAAAAGACTATTTGCAGAAGTAATAGCAGAAAATTTCCCAAGCATGGAAAAAGAATTGGACATCCAGATAAGTAAGTCATATGCAACTCCAACTAGCCATAACCAAAACAAATCTACACCCAGACATATAGTGATCAAGATCCCAGAAATTCAACAAAAGAACAGAATATTAAAAACTGTAGGGGAAAAGAAAAAGATCACCTATAAAGGAAAGCCCATCAGAATCTCGGAAGATTTCTCAACACAAGCCATCTAGTCAAGAAGAGCTTGGAGTGAAATATTTCAGGTCCTGAAAGAAAACAATTTCCAACCCAGATTGATGTACCCTGCAAAACTATCCTGCAAAATTAATGGAGAAATAAAATATTTCCATGATAAAGATCAACTGAAGAACTTCAT